TTGTAAGAGCAGCGGAGCAGCTTTTACCTCTTCAATACAATGGCATTACTTGCTATACTGCATGGTAGCAAGATGTTGTCGCTGATAAAATGGAAAACATAGATGCTTGTCATTGAGAAAAGGATGGAAAGAAAGATGTTAGAGATTTCACTCCGTTACCATCTTCACAGTGTAATAATCAAGTAGCAAAATGCGATGACTAGAAATGTAACACGGTTCAATGACCACAGACTGTCAGCGGCTATCTCTGACTGATTCCTGTAGGGTAACCCAAAACCGCTTGATTTTCCTTGAAGAATAGCGTACGATATCCACCTGCTCTACCTGGTTTACTGTAGCGGAGACAAGACCTAACAGTGGATCATTTAACGAAGCGTTTGTAGGAGAAGGTTGCGTAATTTTTCTGGTTGTTCAACACCGACTGGTCATGCTGATCATCAAGCTGAAGTCAAACATGTGATCTGGTATCGACAAGCCCTTACGGTACATTTTGGCATATAAAATATGTTCGTCTGCCAGAGTGTGCCAAATAAGGCGTAACTCTCATAAACCATTTTTCCTGTCGCATTGCGGAGCCCCTCGCTCAACGTTGCCTAGAGGAATCATTTAAGCAGGCCAAGATTCCATGGTATTTTAGCGCCCATAATGATGATGCATGTCGCATTGTTGAGTTCTCAAGAGAGCCACATCGAGCTCATTAGAACGATGCTCCTGGAGCTGCCAGTTCTTATGCCACCTAGCTGTGATATAAGCCGTCTAAACCGTCTGAACTTCACGAGGCAACCAGCAGCAAGAGGCGGTGCAATACAACATGAAATCTGGTTTTGGTTTTAGAAGAGTGATGCTTTATTTAGCATACTTCAAATTAAGAACATATTTTGATGCTTAAGTGGCACAGTCACAGAAAATTGCCAAGTTGCCATCAAATTTGCTCTCTCCTTTCCTCTTCTTTTAGAAGTGCAAATAAATTTCGTCACGATTGCGAAGTTAAGACTCCTTCATCTTTGTTTATAACGATGCTGATAAATTAAGAACGGTCTGGCAACTAAGCATGAATGCATTTGCATGCTAAGTATATAACCATGTTCAAAATTTGCGTTTCACTATTATGAGTCGAGACTGGTCAGTCACTTATTCCTACAGTTGCCAATCGTTCTACAGTAGCCATTATTTGGTCATTTCACAAAAAACAGCTGCAACACTACCTCGCAATATCCTTATGATATTGCTGACATTTCCAAGGCAGTTTAATCACAGTATTTATTCCGTACCTACTGTCATTGGTGCCAATTTATCCTGCACACAGGAGAAATGCATCGGCAAGCGAGAAACGTGACTAAGAGCCATCAGGATAATGGATAAAATCAGATGACGAAGGTGAAGTTGGACGTGTTTTCATTATCCATGTAAAGTTCCCGTGCACATTGAAACAAAACAGCTAGCGAGGCAATACCAATGAATGGGCGAGAGATATTGTGTGCAGCTAACAGCAACTATCCAAAAGAAGGGCACTGACGCTGACTCAATGACGACTTCGTACTCACTTCCACCTGAAGCACTTTGAAATCCTTTCATCCTGTCATCGATCGTAGCAGCAGGGAGGTGGCTAAAAGGATACTGATAGAAATTAAATAACATCCCTCAGGTCAATGAGTGATGAAGACCGCGGCAAATACAGTAAAAAATGTTGAAATCTTTAAAATTAATTTATTCTTCCATCCATCAAAATGGTTACGTTTATTCGCGTGACGTCACTCTGTGTTACTAATAAAACAGTTTGAAACGTTTCTAATGAGTTATGCAAATATTACCATCTCTCAAAGCGTGCTGAACGACGATCGCGGCATTTCTCAATAGAACCAAATGATGCTAGATGCATAGATGCCACCACAAATGCCAAACTGCTGCAGAACTACTGTCACAACCTGCTTCCAAAATCTCTAAGCATTCACGGGTACAGGAGAGACTTACTGTAACACGATGAATTCCTGTTTGATTTAGTTCTGCGTAGTAAACAAGTATGGAACTGAAATATTGTCTCTACCTGAACTTGTGAACAAACGGCTAACGTAGAGAGCAATTAGTCCATATGTTTATAGTTGTGCCAAAATGCAACGTGAACACAGTTGAATTAAATGATTAATCACTACAGACTTTTGGACTCTCATTTCATAAATTTTTTCAAGGATGGCTATGGAGGTCATCTGCAGTAGGCAGATTATTTTATTTTAGAGGTTGGGAGAGAATGGCCCAATAAATGTTATGCGAGCTAGAAATTATCAATATGGAGAAAGTTCCTATATCAAATCATTAAATATCGGTACATTATGAGAAAGGTGCACAGAATCAGCGGGAGACAAGCAAAATTTTTGAAACTTAAAAATCGTTATGCTGAATCTGTATTCAGTATGATGCAGGGTACCGATCGTATCAATGAGGAAATTAGGTACTAGGGCCATTTACCTAGTCGTAACCTATGGTTAAATTAATTACACACTTGACTCAACAATTCATTTCGTTTTACACACTTCCTTTTACTACTGTATTTTTGAACCGCTCTCTCTCGTGCTGTTTATGTAACTTGCACGCACTGTTTAAGCCCGCCCAAATTTTTATGGTTCTCACGCTAATAAAGAAAGACGTTAAACTATATTTGTTTCTAAATGTCACCAGCGTCTAGTATTTAAATATTCAATACGATATTTATGGTGGCAGCTTGTCAAATGGATCAAGTAAGGTGACGGTGTCTGATCTTTTCTCCTGAGACCGTTTTCTAAATGACTACGCAAAGGCACAACGTCGAAGAGCCAAAAATGCATTTTTTTACACAATAGTCAACAACACTTGATATGCAGGATACAGCAGGTAATTTTCTCTACTCCAACTCGCTTCAGCAGTCAACACTGGTGCCTAGTAAAGAATCTTTACGTCCTTGTTTCCTCGGCAACGCGATGCCGGTGTTTCTGTACTGTTTGTACTTCAACTCAATCCAGTCGACCAGTGCTCCTCTTCAACGACATAACGTCAGTGTGGGCAGAATTCGGAGCACTGTTAGGATGTCATAGTTGTTACCGGGTTGTCATACAAACAACCGATACTGAACGCTCATTTCATGCAGTTGCCAGCACACTGAATTCGTCATAATTCCAGAAATAGGCTATTACAATGTTCCGGCAGTTGCATAGAATGATATCTATCTTGGCCCGGCATGGTTTCTAACTGAAATGGTTACGTATAGCTGTTGACAACTTATCAGATCCACAAACTTTCCGCTAAATGGAACATTGGTAGAACAGGAAGCATCTGAGTTGCTTTAATATTTAAAAGTATTCTCTGCTTTATTACTTACTGCGGACAACTGAATAGTCAGGCATGTTCAATTCATTCCATTACACAATTTCATATCATCTTTTAGAGTTATGCGACAAAATGAAACCAAGAGTATTAAAGCAACTAATTGGCGCTTATGATCAACAGCTCATGGTAACAAGTTCAAAACAGATACCTGTTACCTTTAGCTCTGAATCAACAACCGAATAGTTGTTATTCAAACGGGCAACGAATCTATAACTCCCTCCAATACAAGCCTAAAAAGGATTATGATATTTTTCTTCAAAAAATATTTCGAGAAGATTCAGGCACTGACTAAAAGTTAGACTCTAAAATTTATTTCGTTAAATATCTTTTAATTTTAGTGTCAGATACTTTGTTTTAAAATTAAGCAATGCGCAACTCTGTTAATTCAGGAATAAAATCCGCAATTACCTTGCATCTGAAAGTGGTGATTCACCTGAGAGTTAGACTTGAGGTGGAGACGTTTCCACTAGGGTTTGACGATGAGCCCTGATTGACATCGAATTCTTGGTTTGGCCTTGGAAAACTCAGAAGAGGGTGGCCATTTTGTGGATGAAACCCGGATAAACAGAGTTAGGATAAAATTTTGTTGTTGTCTCGTCATCTGGGATATTGGGATCAAGGACAAAGTACCTAACTTAACGACATCGGACGCTTTGGCTTCTCAGAATGATTTATGGAATGTTAGCTTCTACGGGGAACATCATATTTTTATCAGATGAAATATAATTGATATTGGATCGGATATTCACGCTGCACATAGATTTCTATTCGAAATCAGCACGCAACTGACGCTCTGATGCTGTCCAGGTATAATACGTAAGAAGAATGAAAATTCAATGGTTTGGCGCGGCAATGGACTACGTTTTCTGATAGCAAAGGGCGTTTGACGCATTGATAGAAACTCGCAGCATTATAACCGCTATTCTGCAGATCTGCATGAAACTGTCCTTTTTAAAATAAATGTAGATTTTTACTAAATATGGTCAGTTAAAGTTAAATTTTACTCCATATTAGATTGATACAAATAGAAATAATCCTACCAGTAACAGTCTGATCAATTTTTTATGGAAACTACGTTACTTGCACCTTGAACGTTTATACCACCTCGTAATTCTTTACC